TCGTGATGATGACGGATACATTCGCATCTGAGAATCGAACTACTGTGCTGCGATGAACGACGAATGGAGAAACAAAAAAGAAGAAAAAATAAAACGAAACGGCTTTAAAAATCAATATCGGAGACTGAAAAGGTCCTTTAATGACTTTCGATCTTTCAACAATTATCTACAAGAACTTTTCTGACTGTAACCATCACATCTCAGTAAGTGCAACCCACTCAGTTATTCGTCGAGAGCCGTGGAGTGCTTTCATAGGGTTTTAATCAAGATGTTGAGAGTAATCTCTCACAACGTAGCCCCGTTTAGATTATTGCTTATTCGAAGAAAGTAATAAACAGTGCTTTATTTACATATGGGGCTAAATGTGCTGTGTATGGCGTTATTGGTATTGTAATGTCTTGCGGAAAATGATGGATGTGAAAATATTTCACTGTTTGCAATCTAGTAGAGTTTTCAATTAAGTGCTATCGATACTATACGTGTGATATTAACGCTCGAAAAGACTTTAAACAAACAAACGCCTACGTAATAGAATATAAAAGAGGTGTTAAACCTTAACGTGGAAGAAAAATACTTCCGCTGATATCAATTGACCATCGACTAATAAACGAATATTGTAAAGCTTACTGGCTGCATATCGTACAGTAAGACATTCATCGGATTACTGTACGGTAGATCACACAGCGATGATGAATTACATTCGAAAGTAGCATGATCGCTTTCGTAGAGTTTCTTAGTGGCTGCTAACGAACAAACACTAGCGTTCATATGAATTTGGTGAGAATCCATAATATGATGAATTGATCTGAAATAACTGACGTCACATGCTACAGTAGTAGTAGGGTCAGTTAATCCCATACAGAAACCGCATAAGTATTTCATACTTTTTCGAAATAAATTTTATTAAATGGACAGAAAAAAGAAAACAAAGGGCAACGAATCTTTAACGTACTCTTTTGCAAAGAAATCGTGGTACGGATCACTTGTTGAGTGGCATTCGTGAATATTGTGCTCTCTTGTCATCATTTTATCGATACTGTACGGATCAGTAGGAAGTGTATGTTCGAAAAAAAAGACACGCTTATATAAATATATATTGAATGTGAACACTACAATAGATTTTTTAACCAATTTAAAACTGAAGTAGCTTACCGTAGAACTCTGTCGAACCCTGACTAACACGCATCGCTGATATTGAAGTCGTGAAATTGTAACAATCTAAACTGCTAGATTGCAAGGACTTGTCATAACCTGCGGAATACTGTCCCAAAAAGCGACGACCGAATAGACAAATACAAGAATAAATGCACAACAATGGATGATGTGTATATGTTTGTGTATGCGTGTATCTGTATGTATTTGAGTGTGTATTGTGCGCATGGGTGTGCGTCTGTATGTGTATATAAAGATATATGTATGTGAGTTTTTATATGGATGTGTTTGTGTGTCTGTATGTCTTTACGTTCGTAATGCATGTGTACATGTGCATGTGTGAACATTTAGGTGTATGTGTTGGAATTTTGGCATGCTGAAGATGATTTTGAAAAGATGCTGGTTTTAGAACAGGGCGTGCTCGATGTCGGACGAAATTTTTATTGTATTTGAACATCGTAAATTCGAGCACCGTGAAAGGTATACGTGGATGGCAGCTCATACCTTTTCCGTAAGCAAACATAGAAAACTTTCACTCAGACCAAGCAACCAGAAATGAAAGTCAAAGCGCTTGAGGTTGTCTGGGCGCCCCTCCAATCCCGGAGTGCATTGGATGATTTCTTAGCGTTTAAGGTTTTACATCGGTACGTATGTGTTTATTTTGTATTAAAATGTGCGATGATACAAAAGTTTTTAATGTTAATCACTTGGCAATTCGATGATAATTTGATAACAACATATGGGTGCAGGATCTGAGCGCAATACAAAATACGAGAATTGGCAATAAGTGTCACGATGATACGATGACAGTGTTGGTGCTGGTGATGTGTGTGTGTATGTGCGTGTGTGTATGTGCGTGTGTGTGCATGTGTGTTTGAGTGAGTCTATGTATGTATGTATGTGTATATGTGGTTTTGCGACGGCAAATCGCGGCAGTTACAAATTGGGAGAGATGAGAAAACGTAACGGAGAGAAATAAGGAGAGACGGTTAGGACAAGGAGGTAGGAAAGATTCGCTCACGATTCGGGTTAGAAGAGACCATGATAAGAGCACGAGAACACAGCGTAACGCACCGCAATACCCGGTCGGTCGCAACGAGGTTGACCGTGAAATGGTGATGTATGGACCACCGCCCGGAATGTGCTCGTCCCGATACGCGACCGTGTCCGTCGTCGGCGTCTTCATCTTCATCTTCGTCTTCGTCAACGTATTACATCAAACGCTAACTCTCGATCGACACAGTGCGCAATGTGTGTAATGTGAACCGAGTTGATCGCAAAAGTGTCCGTCCGTCAACGTCTTCGCCATCACCGTCGACGACGCTGTCGACGTCGTTCTCTGATACCGCCATTCCGTTACCGCCACAGTCATCGCCGCCATCACCGTTGCCGTCACTGACACAGCATGCCATACTTGATACTCTTTATTAGCACTCTGTTCGTGAATTCTACATTGATGAGAGCGCTAAATAGGCGTGAAACTGCGCAGCGGGTTAACGGTCTATCTAGTGAGATCATTGTGATCCTAGATGGATATTTAGTTACATCAACTCTATCAAAATATTGCAACGGTTTTCTATAATTATAGGAATTCGACAAGATGGAATGGTTAAAGGGTTAAATATTGGGATTTAATACGCTCAGAGTTTTGTAGAGAAATGATGTCGTCTATTGTCTTTTGTAGAAGAGTAGCAAAAAACTGTTACTCAACATAGCGCATACCCATAGCTCTAAATGAAAATTCTGTTAATCGAAATACCATCAATCGTTCCACATGGGAAGCTCATTAGAACTCATTTAGTCCAGTAAAGAAATCAGTAGACGATTTTTTGCTCAATTTATTAATCACCGATTCGATGCTGAAACATCATATAAACAAAGCCTGTAGAAATCTGTAAAATTTTTGCAGAGTTCAACAGTTACCATCCTACAGCAATGTTCAGTAGATTGGCTATCAGAATTGTTACTATTCAAAGTTTCATGTTTCTATGGATCTCCACCTAACAACCGTTAGATTTGGACCATCAAATTAAAAACATAGTAAGGTTATGACCGTCACGAAGAAAATAAAATTTAACTGTTTCCTATTTCTGCTGAGTAGCATTTTTGTAGAACAGAAACGAGGTATCGCTTTATATAAATAATTTAAGTACGCTCAATATTGGCTCGCAATCGTGACACTGTAATTTATTACTGTATTCTTCTACGTTTCATTTCACGTAAACTACAGTGCGACACTTGGATTTAGAACAGTGAGGCTGTAACGTATTGAACATATTATAAAGTGTCGTTATGGCTTATGGAGCGTAATAAGCTAAAGCCCAAATGGTCATAGACAAATTGAGATTGAGGGTATCCCAATATCCTAATACTTTGTGCAGAGTTTACCGAATGAATACAAAGAATTTCGCCAACATTCATTTCTGGCCAGATGCGCTCTTCTCTTCCATTAGCACTTTTTTGGCTAAAAAACTAGTAACGAGAGGAACTTTCTCAGGTCTGTTTAATAGATTACAACTATGTTACTATTTTTATTCACGGAAATATTCCATTATGTTCAAAGTGGAAAATAGTAGAAGAAAAAAGTTATCCGAACTTTAAGATTACATGCAAAAATATCTTATGTTCGCGTTCACCACGAACGCAAAAATGAATAGGATGAATTAAGTGATGCTGTAAATCTTATAGAAGGATAAAGGTTAAACCTCTCGGCGTTGATCACCCCTTAGAGATGCACCATGCATTCGACTTCATTAAGCATCGCTTGGAGGTGGTTGGATGCATATTTGGCCTTTACAATGACTCGCCATCGCCTGCCGATGTAACGAGCCAGTGCTGCTATGTTCCCAGGCAAGCCTGGTACATGGAAGGCTTGGTGGGTCAGAGACGTGGGAATCGATCCCAAGCGTGCTGCAGGGTACCTCCGACCACTGCTCCACACGCGCCCGTATAGATCTTGTAGGGATATCAAACCTTTTTTCTGCATTTGTATTTAAAAATGTATCAATACAATCCAGATTTCGTTGTGAAAGCTACACGCAGTATTCGCATTGATCGAATATCTCAGCATAACTAACGTATTGCTTTGAATAATCGCGCTAGATTATAGGTTTAAACTGCGAATTTACTGAGTACAATAGACAAAGTGACATTAGATTACGTTTCTTTTCAGTTCAACATGTTCTTCTTTAGAACCTCTTTCTATTTGAATACGATCTTTATCGTATAAGCAAATAGTGGCAATCTCAATGAAGAAGCATTTCCCCTTTATGATGAGGAAACGCTGCCAGAAATCTCAGCTGTCTCTTCAGTTCTTTATTTCTATGATTACAAAACTATCATGCTTTAGTGAAGTCTTAGCTACCGAAAAAAATGCTTTGCATACAAATTACAACAGAATCCTAACATTCGAGAAATTAACTATAGAGAACAAAGTAGTATTGATCAGTTCAATGATGCTGAGATATTTGCAAAACTCCGCACCGCAGTTGTCTGCGGCGGGGAACGAACGCACTATTGCCTTTTCCGGGGAGTAACGCATTCACCACCACAACATGAGGGTCCTTCGTTTCGCCTGTCTCTCAGCTAGTTCTATTGATCTTTTGCCATCAGCAATTACCCGTCGGCGGGATTGATCTGGGGAGCCCAAATTGGCAACGAACCCAGTAAGTATTATTAAAGTTATATTTCGCAATATATACCCTACCGTTAAAAAGTGTAGGCAGTAAATAATAAGCTAAAATTGATCAGTTGGATAGGAAAGCTCGATAAATAGAAGAGGACAAATGGAATACACCCTAGAGATGATATCCATACTATAAACGCTACATAGAGAAAAAGTATAAGACACATAAACATCAACTATAAAGCTCAACGATGTTCGATGAGGAGATCTTTAAGGGCGGTGAAAAAGGCAGGTAGATCAGGAAAAAACTTTGTCACGACCTGTTTCATTCTATACAACATTTGTCCTAAAAAAAGAAGAAAATTCACACATACAAAAGAAAAGGAAAAGAAAAACAAGAGACGTCGTCTAAAAGTTAGAAATTTCCCACTAGTTTATGGTGTAAAAGTTTCATCAGTCATAATTGTGATACTGGTGACTCGTTCGGGCTGTCGACATAATGAGAAACAACGATTGATTTGCACTAAGAACTGAAAATCAATCAATATCAACTACATTTTCCGTGATTAAAATTAGGAATATTATATTATTAGATAATTGCTGATATTTAATGCGGCACTTTTTAGCCATGTGCTCAGAAATGTCCACGAAATACTCTGCACTTGCGAGCACACCATTTTTCTTTTTCCTGAAATGAATCCAGTAGATGTGAAAACGTACCGTTTTCGCGAAATCTTTCAGTATTGATCGGAAAAGAATACAAAGAAAAGCGATCGATAATAATGATGATAGAATACCAAGAACAATAAAATTAAGGTGACTGTCCGTATTAGCCGGCGCTACAGCTGATAAAACCTTCAATGAAATGAAATAAAATTTCACTTTGAAAAAAAAAAAGAAAATGAAGAAAAAAAGACGAAGGAAAAAAGTCAGTGTACTTACGGGAAATGTAAGGAAACGAGTAAGATAGTTCAGATCAAGTGAGGAAAGATCGTTTTCCAGAATTTTTGAATCCACATCGGTTTGAACAGGGGAAAAGATAACGTTCATGGAATTTCCAATGCGTTCGATTCGGTGAACCTGTGATAACAGCTAAAGCTGAAGAAAACTCCAGCAAAACCGTTTAAATTATCAAAAATTTTTGTAAACATTTCACTTTTTGTGAAAAAAAATATAAAAAAGCTACTGTAAGAAGTAGTAAAGAAAATCGCAGTTTTGTGGAAATGCTGCGAAAATAGCGCTATTTTCACTGGATTTCTGTTTAAATCACAGCATTGTAGAAGTTTTCGTTTCCAGCTAAACACATAAGAAAGAAAGCGAACTGTGGAGAAGGTGACAAGGTAAATAGCAAAATAGATGAAGGCGTTAAGGATGATGTTTATTTTTCATAATACTTTTTGTTTTGACTCAAAGTAATGTGCAGAAAGGAATGCAAAGATATTCAGACCTTAACAAGATATTCGCGAAGAAAACGTTCTGGTAACGAGCGCTTTCCGCGTTTTACTCGTAGTATGGATTCTCGGACCAGTTCACTTAGTGATGACGTTAAATTTCTAGTAAGGTCGAACGACTTCAAATCCATTTCAGATGGAATCTTCATTTTTAGGACCAGTACTGACGGTTTTCTGCAACATATCGCTTTCGCCCAAGTCTCTGTACGAAATGCTCCATTTGTGTGCTGCTACTTATTACTATATTATCGTAAAAATCTTTAAAAGCACTAAATTATTACAGGGTAACTTAGTAATGGAGTAGAGCAACGAAGTGTGTTCGTGTCACCGTTCATGCAGTTGATCTGGTTCGATTATTTTTCACCAGAGATCAACCACGATGTTCACCTTTTGAAAATCACCATACTAGAATAAATCTACTGTTATAAAGTTTGCATTGGTATCGGAACTGATCAATAAAGCTATTCTACAGGTCAGCTTCACAGTCGATGTTCAAGTTCCAAAAGTGGAACATGAAATTGTTGATGAATCGCAGTAACTCCAGTGAATGTTGTGAATGTTTAACAGTATATGATATGGAGAACAATCGAAAATTAATAGCTACTATTTTCGGTAAGAAAAATCATAATTAACACTTGAGTCTAAATTAACAGTCCATTAGTCAAAATTAACATTAGAGTTAAAAAATTCAACTAACGTTTGCGGTAGTGTCGATGGCGATACAGGGAATAATGTTTCCGTTTCCCATGAGTTTCCCCCTATATCATGTGGAACTTTGAAACTCTGATCAGAATCAGTAGGTGGAAGAGTGCTTGGAATCACAGGAAAATTGTCATCGATTTCGTTCGAAGAACTATTTCGATTAGATGATGTGTCCGATCTTGGCAAAGTGTTAGGAGTAGGAAATTGATCAGACTGAGATCTGCTGGTCGTGGTCATTGATGAAGACGAGAGCATATCAAGTAATCCAGTAGAAATAGTGGCAACAGTATAAAGTTGTTTTGCTGAAAAAAGTTCAGCTACTATTGTTGGCATTTCGATAATGACCTTGATCTTTCTGATTACGTTTTTCTTCCATTGTAGCAATTAGACGAAGGCCATTGTAGTTGTAATAGATAAATTATTTGACGAACATTTCGAGCGCTTACCAGGCTACTTAGACTCACCTCGAATTCAGTAACCAGTAAGAGCATTAGAAACTGATTTCATTGTCTTAAGCTCCTGTGAAAGCAAGAAATGTGTTCCGCAACGGAAAATGGTGAGTGCAGTGGCTTGAACTTTGTCAGAGAGAAAAAACTAATAAGATGGAATATTTTTCTTGGAAATGTTCGTGGATATTCTTATAATTTTTGACGCTGTCAAGAAACTAGTCTTTTTGCTTAGTACAATAGAGCGGATAAAGACAAATGTAAGAATCGAAGTGCGGAACCCCGAAAGAAGATGTTCTGGCAGTCGAATTCCTAATATATGGATTTGAAAACATTGAACAAAAAGCTATAAAGGAAAAACATCTTTTAAAAGTGTTAAAACTGGCACGTTAAGAAGAACAGGATATTTAAAAAAGTAACACGATTTATTTAAACCAACCTCTTTCACTAGGTTCTACTGTACTCATTATATCTCCATATTGTCCAATCACAAACTGATCAGGTGTGTGATTCGATTGAATTCTTTCAGTAAATCGAACTGTTAACCCGACTGTTTTCGGGAGAGTAGTCGTAGGATAGAAAATATTGATTTTTTCAGTTGTTACTGGAGTGGAGATTAAACGTGTGGTCATTGTCGAAGATAGGGTAGAGGTGGAATAGGAAGAAGATTGTTCTGAGATTAACGAAGTGCTGCTTAAACCAGATTCAGTTGTGGTTTGATCAATTGAATTCGAAATAACCGTCGTAAACGCTAAGCCAGTAGTACTGGTTGTGCCTGTAGATGAAGGAAATGTGGGAATGATTTTTGTCGGAAGACTTGTTCTGGACATGTTTATGGTTTGATTAACGCATAGAGCACAGTGGTCAGGAAGTGCAGGTTGCTGCAACGACGATTCGGTCGGTATCGGACGCTCAGTAGTAAGTAGAGAAGCTAAAATATTCAAATTCAAGTACAGAACAATGGTAGTTGAGACGGTGAAACCAAACTCTTGGCAACCGATTTGATAAGTCGTACGATAGTTTTGTTAGTTGTTTCTGCTTTTTTTCCTTTCTCTGATTTGTTAACGATAAGTATTGCGAGAGGACAACGTTGTAATGGAAATAGAAAACTTTATGATAAAATATCCGGCTGTAACGGTCCAAAATCACATCAGTAAAGGAGGGAAACAGGATAAAAACTTATAAAATGGAATAATTTTTAGGAGATAAGCGAGTAATCTTCCAGCAGCTGAATGAAAATCCATCCATGACCACTTTGCAGATTTTCCTTTAGGAATAAATTTTATGGCTTTATGTCATCATTCCTAACAAGGTACTCGTACATTGATGATAAAATGCCTTACAACTTTTATACATTTTTCTCTTTTTTTTTCGTTAGAAATTGGACTTACCTTTGTCAGGACCAACATTTGCAAACTGATTGACCGGTACTATAAATGGCGGTAGGAGTCCATCAACATGTGGGAGACCGTGCGTTGATTTTACTTCAATGCATATTTTACCGGAATTCGTGATAAGATGTGGTATTCCGCCTTGTACACGAATTAAATGATGAGCGGACGTCATATAAACCTGAAAACTACCTGAAGAAAACTATATCGAGATTCGGAATGTTACTAGGGAAAACTCTAAGAGTCGTATCATACAAGAGCCCATATTAGTTCCCGAAAAAAAAGAAAACGCTGTAGGAATGTAGGAATTAAACTATGATGGTATATTTCTTGTTCTAAACGATCCAATACAATTTGATACACGACACAAGCGCACTCTGACGCTTTGAGACTAGCAGGACAAGAGCACTGTAAGAAGGGTCCATCATCGATGTATCACTTCTATCTCAACGAACACTGAATGATAGCAGCGCTACTTTTGAATTTTGCACCTTATTTTGTCGTAGAAATGCATTTCGTCTTTGTCATATATACTACGGCTACATTAAAATTGTTGAATTTGCTACATTATGATGGAAAAAAACACGTCGAGTGCGGCGGAGTGGTTGGAGGCGCCCTGCAATACACACGTGAGATCGATCCCCGCGCCCACGGCCTAACAAGTTTTTCTCTCCAGGGTCGGCAAACTGGCACCAGTCTTGTTTGGGAGGACAGCAGCACTGAGTCGATACATCGGTGTGCCACCGTAAGTTATTGTAAAGGCCAGATAAGCATTCAATCACCACTAACGTTGCCCAATGAAGTCTAATGAATGGGGCATCTTTCAAGGATTTCTCAACGCCTAGAGGTTTTTTACGACGAAAAAATAGATAAAATAAAGAAATAACACAATGGCAAAAAGCAAAATTCGAAGAGAAAATTGTGTATAGCAGAGAAAAAAATTTCGTTGAGCTTACATTTTGTACCGGAGTCTGGACCACTATTTCGGAATTAATTGTGTTTGCTGTCACTAGGCCAGTATTGGACAAATTCATTTCACAACTAAGTGACGTTACCTTAAACTTAAAATTTAGCATTCCTAATATATTTATGTAGACTAAAATCTATGTAGAAATAGAAAAAGCTGCAACATAGTTAGTGAGCACATGAAAATGCTAAGGAAAAGTCGTGTACCTCTATAAGTTCGGCATTAATGACGTTACCTCCAAGTGACAGTTCACCACCTCCTCTTTCGATCTGTAATCTGAAACAGCATCGACATAGGTTAACAGATCTCCTTTTATCTGCAGGTATTACTTTTAAAGCACATCACGGTTTTTTTGTACACTTAATGCTGCTATCATAAGACAGAGCACTAGGCATTGATCCACCCACATCGGGCAGCGCATAAATCGACCCTATTTGTAGCACCGTAGAGATGAGACTGAATGCACTTTTCACCTATACATTAACTTCTGGTAGTCTACTGCCTATGCATCACGTCAATGTTTTCGTTCTTCCAGAAAACTTTGTCGTCAGTTGTCCGACTCAGGAATTATAGAGAGTTTGGTGAAACTGGAGCTCGGCCATCGATATTGAGTATGTTGCGTGCACTTCTGTTCACTGTTCTACCCGTGCGGCTTAATCTCCATTTCTACACATTTCAATCTGTAAACCACCTACGTTTAGAAACTTCTCGAACTACTTGCATTAGGAGCTTCTAGGACTGATGTAGAGTTTTAGTCTGTCAATGTCAAATTCGTCGTTGTCCGACTATGAGACGAAAGTTCCATGGATATTTGTATCAAATTGTACTAGCAATAAAAAGCGATCCTATTTTGGAAGATTTGCAAAAAACATCTTAAATTAAAAAGAAAAGTTTAATTATAATCTAACCTGGAGAGTTTGTCCACATAAACGCTTACACCAGATGATGAAACACGTAGCACAACGCTTTCCTCTGGGCATCGGATTAAAATCTCCTCTTTTGTAAGCAGAAGCTTGAAATGAAAACATCTAATCAATATGATAGTCTCATTAGGGGTCGCACGTAGTATTATTGCAATATAAAATAATTTATTAAATTCTTCATTCCCAATAATGAAAATCCTTCCAATGGTTTACCGCCTTATCGTGGCTCGGAGGTTTTCCTGGGTGCCGGACTGCGATGTACAGCGTGGGGATTCGTCTCCCCGGGAAGGTCTTCCAAGGTGAAAAGGAGTCCGGGGCCTCCATCATGAGTCTAACTAAGGGTAAATCAATACTCGGATCCACCACCGTCTTGGTATAAAAGTCGCATGGCGGCAAATCCCTCTCTGATCCACAAGGGTTGCGACTGCCTGTTGTGGTGATAACCTGGCGCAGACCTTGGCCAGGCTGTACTCGGGATTCTAGAGAGCCACAATGGCTTAACCAGCAAATCTCCGAAAAATGGTGATTATGCTGGTGTCCGTACAATCAGTGAGGGCGGGCTGTTCAATTATCAAGTATTAATGAAAATGTATGACAAAATGACCAGCTCACCAAAAAATGCTGTTTAACTGTCAAAGGTTTTCCAGAAAAGAAAAAACAAAAGATAAAACAGCTGAGAAACCTCTTACGTTATAGATTGACATATTCATCTTAGCAGTAATTGTATAGTTATCGGTATGAACTTGTATTAAATTGTAGTCGTTAGCAATTTGTAGAATTTTATTCGAAAATTCTACAAAAATTGTTGCACTAACCAGACAAATACGAATGTTATAGAAAGACGTTGTGGCTGAAATCACAATAAAAAGCGGAAACCTCGTTCTGTACGAAAAATCAATAATAATAAAAAGGTATTCTAATAAATTCTATATTAACAACCTCGTGTCTACTTATTGATGAAATATTGAATTATCAATTAATGCCGAGGTTAACAGAAAGTCGGCCTTGGGAATAATAAAAAAGGAAAAAGTCGATAATAGTGAAAAAAAAGGATTTTGTGATAGTGATTTGATTTAATCACTAACCAATGAGAATCAATCCACGCTTTCTATTGTTAGGTGAATTTGCTGTGAAAGTCATAGATTTTTCTTTATCGACAACCAAAGTGTTTATTTCTACGCCGGCACATTCACCATTTATTGCCTAAATAGTAAAAAGAAAAGAGTAAAACAGATCAGAAAACAATCGTAAACAGAAAAAAATGGGAAGAATACGAAAAAATTATGCTGTAGCCTAACTCCAGCATTTCGCTTTAACTTTGTCATGTTTCCATCATTATGTAGTGCTTTTGAGTATTTAATTCTAGTAAACCTCCCAACAGTTTACTGCCTCATCGTGGCTGGGAGGTGTTCCTGGGTGTCGGACTGCGATGTACAACAGAGGGATTCGTCTCGCCGGCAAGGTCTCTCAAGGTGAGAAGGTGTTTGGGGTCTCCATCAGGAGCCTAGCTAAGAGTAAACCAATACCAGGATCCACCACCGTCCTGGTATCAAAGTCGCATGGTGGCAAATCTCCCTCTGATCCATAAGTGTTGAGAGTGCCTGTGGTGGTGAAGACCTGGGGCAGACTTTGGCTAAGCTGACCTCGGGACTCCAGGAAACCACAATGGCTTAACCAGCAAATCTCCGAAAAATGGTGATTATGCCGTAGCCCGCATAACCACTGATGATGGGCCGTTCAAGTATCAAGTATCAATACTTTTAATAAAACGCCAAGTAAGAAATCAAGCATTTTTTCTTTTCAATGACCATTCAGACAACGTTTAAGAGATTTTATGGAAAATTTTATCAATAGATTAACTGTTCAATCATTTCCTTTTGAAAATGTCTGTTTTTCATTAGGAATTTCTCAATACACTGTTGTTGTAATAAAACAACAACGACGATGATGATGATGATGATATACTGGGCGTAAAGGGAGAGAAGAAAAAAAGAACTGGTTTAGTAGTGATAACCATCACATTTCGCCTTGGTTTGTGGTGTTTTAGAGTATTGTGAAGAATTCCGAAGTCAATGAATACTGCATGAAATTTTTATATTCCGCGAAATCGTTCAACATTCTTCTAACGGCTTCTTCAGAGCGATTATGGATTAGCGAATTTTCTTACCTGCACGCGAAAATCAGTATCGGTAACGGAAATATTAGTATTACCAATAAGATCGTGTATAATACTTGAATGTCCGTCTTGTGTTCGATTTGTGCGCATAGAAAACTGAACGACAGTAGGTAAAGAATTATGACAAGGATGATGAAAAAGGATAAAACTCTCGGCGTTGACCAATCCCTGAGGGATGCATCATGCATTAGACTTCACTAAGCATCGTTAGAGGTGATTGAATGCGTATCTGGCCTATACGATGATCGCGGTTCCTTGCCAATGAACCGAATTAGTGCTGCTATTCTTCTAGACAAGTCTGGTACCAATTTTGCGAACCCGGAGGGCTGAAAGGCTTGGTGAACCCAGGACGCAGGGATCGATCCCATGTGTACTGCAGGGGATCTCGGGCCACTGCGCTACACGCACCCATTAACAATAATGCCAATGATAGCAATTACGATAAATATACAAGGGCTATGATAAGATCAGCAGAGAGGACAACAAATTAAGTAATAGTGAAAGAAAGGAACGTCGCAATTGTACTGATGACGAAAATTGATATGAAACTAAAAAACTTTCAAAGTTGTTTATCTCGAAATCGCTTACTCATATCGATTTTGTTTATTTAGTTACTGATTGCTTTTCTGAAAACACGTTTCTGTACAAATTTCCTACCAGGCTATGATGACGCGAATCAAAAAGCTTTCAATTATTTAAAATGTTTGGCAACAAAAAAAGCCTTAATAACGCGAAATGAAAAGGTATTTATCAATAATGAAAACTGGCCGAGTACTACATTTTCCTTGAAAACATCCCATATGGTCTTCTAAAAATGGTGCGTGTGGCGCAGTGGTCGGAAGCGCCATACAACGTACCTGCGGAATCGATCCTCCGGCCCATTGCTCGCCAAGGTCTCCACCCCTCCGGGTTCGGCAGATTATTACTAAAGTTGTCTAGGAGGATAGCAGCACTGGCTCGACACATCGGTAGGCCACCGCAAGTCATGGTAAAGGCCAAATATGCATTCACTCACCTCAAACGATGCCTAATGAAGTCGAATGAATGGCACATCTCTCAAGGTTTGATCAACACCGAAAGCTTTATCCTTCATCCTTTATCCTTATAAT